ATATGTAAAAACTGTCTTATACATATTTTTGCTCTATAACTTCATAGTCAATTAATTGTTAGTACCATAGGACCACCCCCCAAGTTAAATGCCCATGCTAAAAAAAATAATGTTGAATAAAAATGATGAAAACCATGGTATATTATCAAGTACCACTAGAATGCTCCTCAGTAAGAAGGATGGTTACACTTGTCTCACATGCTTTGCCCATGTTATCAGGAGGAACCGGTCCCTTGGAAAGGTCATTGTGGTTGGTAGAGGGTCAGCAAAATAGAGGAAGATCCTCAGTGAGATGAACTGAGCCAGTGGCTGCAGCAATGAGTCAATTATAAAAGCAAATGTGAGGCTGATGCAGGACTGACCGTATTTCCTTCTGTTGTACATAAGGTCAGACAGGATGGAACTGATTCAACAATCCATAACAACAAGATTCAGGAAGACATAAGTAAGCACTTTCAGTGTAGTTTTAAGGGTAATATTATTTAATTAAAAGACTGCAGGTTCAGATAGACATGCAGTCTCCAACTTAGAACAGGGTGCATTAGGATGAGTATCATAAGTCAAATTATGACATTCTTGTATTATCGTTTTAAATTGATTTTCATTATCACAAATTTATAGATCATAACACTAAATATCTGCAAGTAAACATCGAAGAATTATAACAGCCACTTAGGTGTGGCAAACATATATGTAGTACATATACGATAATAAAGTGTACACACAAAAATAAGTAATCCTGGTGACTTGTCCTCACTCAAATATGTCATAAACTAAGGACGACCTATATGGGCCATATGGGTTGGGAGAAAGTGATTAGAACAATTCTGATCATGAAAATCCTTCTCTACTCCACACACCAAAAGCCCTGGTGGCAAATTGCATTGTTAACCTCAAGGTCAGTTGTTGGAACTCCCTAGCTGCTCCACTGGAGAAAGATTAAGTTGTCTGTTCCCATAAAAATTAAGATACAGTTCTATATGTATAAACTATAAGATACAGTTCTACTATGTCCTGTAAGATCACAATGAGTAGGAATCCACTAGATGGGAGCAATTTTGTTTTGTGGTTACATTCTATACTATATGTCAAGTACACGATTTGGCTTTGAGAAGATACTGAGAAAACACACTGCTTTAATATGACCCCTGCTACTTCACTCAGTCTCTTGATGATCCACTTTATCGCCACTAATCTGCCAATTTCTACTAAAACATTCATCTTTTTTTTTTTTCAGAAATGTAATACCGATGTCTCCATTTGAGCAGCGCCAGGCTGTCAAACATAATACAAGGTGTTTTGTGCACACTACTTAGCAACAACTCAAGGAAGGAAGTATAACATCTTCATTTTATAGAAAGAAAGAAGGAAACAAACAAAAATGCTACCACAGCACCGTAAAAGGCAGTCAGGATTTGAATTTCCATCTCCTTAGGAGCAAAGTCATACCCCCATCTTTTTCACTGATACTTTTTGCCCTCTCTGCAAGTAATAAATATTATCTACCTACATAGCGGTGAGACGGTATGAAAGGATGTGATGTTTTAAATGAATCTTCTTACTGTAGATAGCTGAAGTAGAAGCAGTAGAGGAAGACACTCAGCACTGTTAGTATGTTTTATTCATATTTTAAACCATTCATCTCCAAATGATTGTTCTAAAGACCCTTCTTGGATTTTTAATCATGCCCAACTATAAGTAGTTTATTCTCAGAGCATTCCTTCGTAGATTGGTTTTCTGGGTGTGCCACACAGTGACCTTTTCTCTTAGGTTCTTCTCTAAATTTCAGTCACTAGTCATTAGGTAAAGCATGAGCCAATGCGGCACTATGGCTTCTGCCCCTCCTTGCTCCAGCATGTTATGCCCAATGCTAGCTTCCACTGTTCCCTTGTTCTTAATGTTGCAGTTGATTCAAACTCATCGTGAAACCATGTGTGCAAAATAAAGTTGCTCCCTACAGTTTTCTTGACTCTGATCTAAATGGGTTTCTCCTGAGGCACTGCTGGGATGACTTGAACAGCTAACCTTAAGGTTAACAGTTATCACGCATTGTTTAATTCTGTTACCTGGAGCCCATTCCTTTTCCTGCCTGTGAACCCCCAGTCTGCTTTTGTCCGCAAGGTATTAGGGGGACAGAAATGCAATCCTGATCCAGGAATCAACTCAAATAATATACTAAAGATGGGTAAGACAGAGAATTGTGCTAAGCGAAAACAAAGGGTTTAAAGGAGAAATATATAAGCTTTTGCAAAGGCTTTGGCTTTGAAGGCTGCCTTGCCCAGATATAAAAATAGATGGCTAAAATGTAAAATCAATTCTAATAGCAAACAGATCATTGCTCTCTCCATGTCCAGGATATTAGGGAAACCTGAATGTTTGATTTAGTAGCACCTTGGGAGTAGACAGAACTGAAAACTTTCCAATAACCTTGAAAACATCCACTTCCTGTAGAAAAGAATCAAGTTCTCAATTCAGTCGATATCCACCCAGCCCACTCAGCCTTCAAATTCAGTGATTAGAGACAGTAATGAATCAGGACTGGGGTTGTCTTTTGCAAACAGAAGGCAACATACGAATCCCTTATCTGGTATTCCCAGGAGCTCTGGACTCTTGGGGATGTGGGTAGTAAATCCGGTTCTCCACCCTTCCCTCGCCATGCTACTGAGAAAGGTGAGGAAACACATTGGGAAGGAAGTCTAGTCCCCTCTGGGGCACCCTCTCCCTCTAATAAGTATTAACCTCACTTCCACACACCCAGTATCCCAGGTTAACTTCATTGTGTCCCAGTGACAGATAGGAAACCAGAAGGAATTATTCTGAAGCAGAAAGTGAATTGGGAATACTTCCCACAGACAAGGAGACGAGAAGATGGTATCTTTGGAACCCCAGGTCCTTCGAGCAAAGTCCAGGGTAGTGGAGCCAGCATGCAAGGACCTTGAGTCCCCAACTCCATTCTGGCTGCCAGCGTGAAGACCTGAGTCCCAGGGTGAAGACAAGCCTGTGAGACTCGGGGAGAAGAAATCTGGGTGTCTGGGTCCACCTTGTGCCTGGTCCCATCCACACAGGTCATCTTTGCTAACTAGAGCTGCGCAGTCACCCCAAGGAATGAAGACCCCCAGCATTAGTTGGAATAACAGTGTCTTAACCCTAGCAGCTGCAGAGAGTCAAGGAAGAGGCCTGAAAAAGCCAATGCTTTAGGCAAGTTGCCCAATCCACCTAGTTGTGCAATGAACAGAGGGTATCAAGGTGGTTGCTGGTGACCATGCTACTCAATACTTCTTCTCAGAGCTCCAGAGGGTCTCTGTTCCTCAGAGCTTAGGGAGGCACTGAAGTGAGGGGATGGAGGGGGCAGGGCTGTCTGGAGGGAAGAGTGAACATAGCCAACAAACACCGCTAGGGTCCAGTGCCAATGACCCCTCTGTCAGCTCACACAGAAAGGTTCTGGTTAACTCCCGCTCCAGCTTCCACTCTGCAGATATGAAGTATGCCAGGCAGGGCACCAGGTGCACTAGCTGCACCGTTGATTCCGAGTACCATCAGGCCTGCTGTGTGTGAAGAACTCTAAGCAGGGGAGAGCACTTTACCCAGCACTTTCTTCATGGCAAAATTGAGGAAACTGGGTGGAGTGAGAGGGCCATACTGAGTCCGTTGAACCCTGCCTCCTCATGTATACACGTGACCAACCAAGGGGATCAAAGACTGCTACCTACAGTGGTTCTGCCTGGACACCCAAAGTGCAGAGTGAAGGCCTTGGGCGGTACACATTGCACCTCAGGCGTAGAAAGACACGGAGTCGCCATAATGGATCCTGCTGGGAGAAAAACCCAAAACTCCAAAAATATACACGCACTGTCATCGAGTTCAAACCAATTCATAGCGAGTCTACAAGACAGGGTAGATTTCTGAGACTGTGGATATCTATGACTGTAACGCTTTACAGAGAAAGCCTTGTCTTTCTCCCGCAGAGGGGCTGGTGGTTTTAAACTGTTGACCTTGGGTTTCGGGGCTGGACACATAACCACTCCACCACTAAGGCTGCCTCAGAGAGCCAAGGTTGATTGCGCTGACACCTGCAGGCTCTTCATTACTAGCTGTGTGAATAAAGCACGGTGCACAGTCGCCGCCGGGATCAATCCCGCACCAATTGACTCACGAGAGCCATTTTTAGATCCCTAACACAAAGAAAACAAGTAGCGCATGGATGATTTCCAGTTGTCAACCTCTGAAAAGCTGCAAACGACGGCCTTTTCTGTAAAGGCCCAAATGTGTGTGCAAACCATTGCTACCTGCAACAAAGCACTCACTGGAAGCTCTGGTTGGGAGCAGGAAACCCAGGAACTGTTGTTCAGATTCAGGAGTTGACGTCCCTTCTCAGAGTGCTCTCGCTGCCAGGCTGCTGCCCAGGTCCTTAGGCCACAACCAGGCTCTTCCAGCGCCCACCCAGCCGTACACAGTGCGTTATTACATGGAGGAGTGCCAACCTGCCTTCCCCCTCCCATCCCGGTCCTGCTGTCCTGCTGGAAATCTCCGCTGAGCGTGGTGAGCGCCAGGTATGGTGTCTGTGTCTGGGCCCATCTACAGTTTCAGCCTAAAGCACAGAGGTCCCAGGCCCAAAGTTACCTAGCCTGCTGCTGGTCGGAGTGCTGGGCGAGGGTCTGCGGGAAAGTGGACCTCGGCTACCGGGCACCAGGACGCGTGCTGTTCGTCCCAGGTCTGGGAGTGGGGAGTGTGGGGTACAGGCTGGGAGCTCTTGCTTCCTTTGTGCGCAAACCAGCATTCCACGTGTAACTTCATGTTCAAACCAAACAGTGCCTGGCACAAGCCTTCCAGTGACCCAGTCTCACCAGAGAGCTGGTGCGCCCCGAGAGAGAAGTGAGGCAGCAGAATGTGACACTTGGGAGAGAGGATGGACCACTCCATCCAAGTGCAGGCACCAGAGCGCCCTAAAGGGACTCTGTCCCCTCCGCGCACGCCCCCGCCGGGCCCCCTGTCCCACTTACCGACTGCCAGACAGATGGGCAGCAGCAGCCTGAAGATGAGTCCACACACCACTTCCGAGGCCATGGCGCTCGGCCGTCCAGAGAGTCCACGCAGAGCGAGGTCCTCGAGGGTCCCAGCGCCGGCCGCCTAGGGCCTCCTTCGGGCGGCGCCGGACAGTCGTCTGGGCATCGCCCCGCGCCGCGCCCCACCGCCGGAGTCCTTCGCCACGAGGGCGCGCTCACCAAGCGCGCAGCAGCCTCCTGGCCGGGCGGCCGGCGGCCAGCGAGCAGCCCATGGAGCGGGAGCGATGGGGACCCGCCGCAGCGCCTTCGCGGTCTGGGGGGCTCGAAGGTTGCGGGGCGGGACGGATCCCCGCCGGGGCGGCGCGAGGCTGGCTCCGGCAAACGCCCCGGGGCAACGTGTCACCTCTCTCCAACGTGTCACCTCTGTCCTCAGGGCCCCGCGGGCTGCAGTGGGGTCCCTCGCGGGGGGGCTCCCGGGGCAGGCGCTCAGCCGATGGGCGCCCCGGCCTCGGGCACCCGAGCTTCGGCGCGCCGCAGCGTCGCGCCCACCGCCATCCCCGCCGCGCGGGCTCGCGCCCCAGTCCCGAGCGGCGCGCCGGGGCTTCACGGGCAGGGCGCGGCGGCGGGTGGCCAAGCGCCGAGGTCCCTCCGCATGACACGGCTTCTCACGCCAGCTGCCCGCACAGCCCCCCGGCTCGAAATCGGAGGGACAAAAGCGCGAAGGCGTCCCGCGCGCCCTAGTCGGCCATCTGCTCCGGCCTCTCCCCGCGCGGCCGCTGCCCAGGCTCGGCGGCGCGTCTCCACAAGTCAATGAAACTTTCAGGAGCCCGACTTGGTGACGGGCGGGCCTTCCGGCCAATGGGACCCGCGCGCCGGGGCCCGCCCCCCGCTCTCAGGAGGCCCCCGGCGGCCGCCCAGGGGCTTGGGCAGGCGAGGGCGGCCGGGCCCGAACCGCAGACGTGCAGCGCTCTCTCTCAGCACCCCAGCCTCGGGGTCCACACCCTCCACCCTGCGCAGAAGACGAGTTGTTCCGTCTGTGAAGGGTCGCAGAGGCGTGGCAGGGACCAGGGCTTTCAATCCCGCTCTCAGGTACCTGGGCGCACTGGCCCTCACGAGCAAACTGGAGCCTGCATGCCTTGAGCCCATTGCTGGGTTGGGCTGCTAGGAGGAAGGTGAGCAGTTCGAAACCACTCCGCGGAAGAAAGATGAGGATTTCCACTGCAGGAAAGATGCACAGCTTTGGAAACCCCAAGGGGCAGTTCTCTTCAGCCCTATAGGGATAGTATGACTTGAAATTGACTGGATAGTAGACAGTGTTGAGAGTGTTTGTTACTGTTGTTGTTTTTACATAGTTAACCTGTAAATCCTTAGGAAAGCCGACCGCCACGCTTTTCCTGCCACATCGCTGCCCTGTTGAGGTCTAACTGGTGTGTCCCAACCACAGTTCTTTGCGTTAAGAGCCAAGGGCCTGAGCATGGTTCCAACAGGCTCTGCCCAATAAGGTCACAAGAATTGGAATCAATTGGATAGTCATGGGTTTATAGTTACTGTAGGGAACTCTAAGTCCTAGCTGAGAGAAAGTACACAATTTAGTTCTGTGTCAGTGGAGTGTCTTTCGCCATTTGAATCGGCTTTGTGGAAATTTCCACTTAGTGTGTGCCTGAGTGAACTTTGGGGTTCATTTCAGATGTCTTCACAAATGCTGAGGACAGGTAAACTGTGAACCTGCATTTTTATGAAGACTGAGGCAGTCGAAATCTAGTGCAAATTAGACTTGTATGTGCTTTGAACCCCTAAGAAACGTAAGTATCATCCAAGTAGCAAATGTAGTCCTATGTCCAAATTAATGGAGCTATAGGATACTACAGGAATTTAATTAAATACCTAATCACACTGACTGCTATAACAAAATGTTTTTACATTTTATAGCAGTCCAACATAAATAAATCTGGGACCCATTTTTACCAAGAGTGTTCTCTCTCTGTGGCAGTTATATAATCTACTGTGAACTTGAGCGAAGTGATGGAGTCTAGCCTGCCTATCAGGTTAGAGGCCTCTGGGTGGGCATAGCCTTCTCCTGAGGATTCTGGGAACTCCTGTCTTCCTCCCTGGAGGCAGGACACACACTCTCCCTGGGAGACATTCCTGTTGATAAGTCACATGGAGCTATGCTGATGGAGCCAGAGCCCTGGAGATGAGGGGCCACGTGGAGACCCATGCCAGTGCTGAGATGCTTCCACCGCCACTGGATCCACAAGCCTTTCCACCCACTGGCCTGAGATCTTCCTGAATTCAGCATCATTGCATGTGCTGCCCAAGTCTCAAGAGGAATTTATAGACTGGTATCGGACATATGGGCTAACGTCAGACTTATGGACTTGATCTGGACTAGGCTGAGATGTTTTCTCAATATACGATTGCTCTTTCTACATAAAGCTCTTTCCTAAACAGATTTGAGTCTCCCTGAATTTGTTTCTCTAGTATACCCTGCTAACACAGCAATTCAAAACCATCAGCAGCTCCTTGGAAGAAAGACTGGGCCTTCTACTACCCTAAACAGTTACAATCTCAGAAACCCACAGGGGGTCACAATGAGTCAGCTTTGACTCGATGGCAGTGAGTTTGGTTTTGGTACAAACGGTGATGATTTACAAAAAATACTTATAGAAGTAAGCATTCTATGGAAATTATTATGACTACCGTAAAGCAAGAACCCATCCTATATGTACAAACTCTTATGCTGAGACAAATTGACCTGCTCTGATACTGAGAAAGATGTGCCGGCTTCTAGCGATATGCTAGAAAACTATGATGCAGCATTTTTAGCCATAAAAGCGTCTCGCTTGTGCCCGGGTGAGTTTCGTCTTACTTATTTAGCTGTGGCTTTCTTAGTTTACCTTCTTGAGCTTGTTTTCATGCTAGTCTGATTGACAAATAATTCAGACAGGCCATTGTCTCAAGTGCTAACCTTCTCTATCATCGTCGAATATGTGAACACAGAATCAGCGATTCTGTTCCCTCCCTTGTCATGTATTATCTTCTCAAGTACTTGGTTAGTTTATTTTGAAATATCTCAGGGATAAATAGTATCCCAAATGACAGCTGCAAAAAACACCCCCTCCCACAGGGATATTAAAGCGTCAACCTGGCATTTTCTTCTTCCAGGGAGATCAGCCAGAATCCAGGGGCGCCATTTAGCCTGTGGGGAGTGTGGCACCTCTGGACCACATAAGGAGGCTGTATCTAGCACAGACAGCATGTGATCTCTGGGTGCAAAACACTACTATAATATTTAGATATAGTCATTTTGCTGTTTTCATTATTATTACCACTGTGTCTTAGGCCTGGGATGATCAAACCCACCAGCTGCATTGTGGGAGAATGATGAAGTTGTCAGTTACTATAAAAATTTAATGTCAGAAACTTTAAGGGGCAGTTCAACTCTGTTCTATAAAGTTTCTGTGAATTTGAATTAACTCAATAGCAGTGGGTTTGTTTTTATTTGAAGGTATCCTTTGAAGATCCCCATAGTCTCTGATTCTCCTGTGAAAAAGTTTGAAGAATGGAACCCTTCTTTGTGCTACTATAAAAATCTTTGTATGCAAAATTTTTAAATATGTTGATTTACTGTTTATAGCAGATGCATTTCCCAGATCCCTAAATTCCAAGGTCTATATAAATTTTAACAATTCATTAACCACTGGAAGAGGCAAATACTTTTCACATCATTGGTCTATAGCTTTTCTGTACTTCAATTACAGAGGATATCTTCCATATAATCCTTACCACGGAAATCTATGTGAAGATACACAAAATTCTTTGCATAGTTCCCTCTTCACTGCCTCTGACAACTAGCCCTTAAACATAACTTCCTGTGGGGCTTCCATAAAGTTTGCACCACAGCTTAGATGACAACCTGTGAGTTGTCAAAAGATTTAGAATCTCAAGCAAACTTGTGATTTCATGTCGGTCATCAAAAAAATCTGCAATCATCAGCTAATTGTCATGTGTTGAGGTAGTTAGTTTATTGGGCCAACTTGGCCGATAAACACATGTGGGATTAATTGAAGGGCAGAGGGATAAATGGCTCAATGAGCCTCCCCTTTCGAGTTCTGGGGTCTCTGGCTTTCTGATGGTCAAACCAGGTTGCAACTGTCTCAGCCAGTTCTCTGCTTTAGCTGGCAAGGCTCACTTCCTGCAAGACATCCCTGAGGAGAAGCCACATGGACCTACCCCGATGCAGCCCTGGATGCTGGAGCAGCTGTGTGGAGACCCCTGGCAGCACTGAGATGCTCACACATTCACTGACTCGGCTTTCCTCCTGCAGTCGGCATCATTGCATCTGTTTTGTGATATGGAGGACTTTGTGACTGGTGTTGGGTTAAAAGGTTAATGTTGGACTTGTGGGTTTGGGCAGTACTGGGTTGGGATGTTTTCTTTATGCACACTTAATCTTTATATAAAACTCTCTCTTATACATGAGTTTCTGTGTATTTGTTTCTCTAAAGTACCCAGACCAACACATTATGGTACCGTGGGAGTGGGGTACTGGAGAAACAAATCATAAGATAGAGAGTAGATGTTTGTTTGACCTCTCCTCATGGTAGTTTTTCTTGTCTAGTCAGAGGTCAGATAAAGCCACGCTATTTACTCAGTTGTTTTCTGGGGAAAATATGGGAAGTAGGAAAATAGAAAGTTTATAAGCCCACTTGCTCTCAGCCATTAAAATTTAGATGGATTTAAGCCATGTCTGCAAAGAAAGATATGCCCCACCCAGTGCTTTGGAGTACACAGGAACCAGTAGTCTTTGTCAGAAGCTGGAAAAAATCTGGAACCATGAAGAAAACTCCTCTGTAGGACTGAATGTTAAAGGGAGCCTGTGAGCAGGTTAAAATGCTTGCAAGGTGACCACCTGGATCTACTTGTTGAGTGGAAGTGGGAGAAATGCAGCAATAACGAAATGGATTGAGTTTGCCCATTGACACCTGTGGACTTGGTTTACAAAAAAAAAAAAAAGAAGATGAGAGCGGGTGGACTGGTCTAAAGTTCATGACCTAGCAT